TATATATATATTCTTGAACAGTTGGATCTTAGCCTCAAACAGCGATCCATATGACACATTACTTTTAAATTTTCTTCATGTCCAATTTATCTTACAAGCCACAATACTCTTTTTCAGCATTTTCTCTACCTTGTGACAGGATGAACCCCGACCCGGCCAGCATCTGCTCTCTGAGATTCTTGATTGCCAGATACCTCTCCTCATCATGATCCAAGGTCAGCATTCCGTTGCTACACCCTTCTGCCCAGTCTCCCTCTAGTTCTTCATCCATGTCCCGAAAGCTTTGCTCTAAACGCCACGAGTTCACGCCATCCATCCCTCTATCCGAAAATGATTCATGCCTTGATGCGCTCCTCTGCCTGCCTTTAGAGGAAGGAGTGTAGCTCCAGGTGTATGTCCTGTTGATGCCATCGACGTTCAGCTCAATCGAGTGTATATCACTGCCTTCTGATGCATCATCTTCGCTGCAGTTTCCACCATTTCTGTCAGGAACTACATCGGCTGCAGCGGCGCCATTTTCAGATGCATGGGACAGTTGCATTGGATCATTCAATGGCTCCTGCTCTTTCTTCGTATCCAGATAAGCTTGGAGTTCATCGCGCAGCTGATTAACAGCTGCATTTTTCTCCTCAAATTGAAGCCGTGCTTCTAACAGCTTCATCTGAACCCTTTGTTCACGCCACTCATCTGCAAGTTGAAGCATCTCACGCTCTTTCTGGAGCTCTTCTTGTGCCTTCTCGGTTTCTCTCTTCAGTGCCTGCACCTCAGCTTTGTCCTCATCAATGCCTCTGATGAGCTCGTTGCAGATCTTCTCAACTCTTCCTTTAGATTTCCTTTCCCTTTCAAGTTCTTTCGTCACTTCCTGCAGTGAGGCTTCAGTGTTGGCTAAGGCAATGCTCAACTTCTTGTTTGTCTTCTCTGCTCTTTTCCTTGATTTCTTCTCAGTGTCTAGCTCTGAAACTATAAATTGGAGAGCATTTGCAACCTTCTCCTTTTGTTTGACCTTCCACGATTCCATTTCTTCTGTAAGTTGCTTCTTTAAGCCCTCAATTTCATAGGAATCAGATTTCTGTTCTTTGATTAGCTTTCTAACATGAGAACGGGCAACATCAAGCTCTGAACGTAGAGCAGAAATAAGTGATACACTCGACAGATTCAGTTCTCCAGGTCCCCATATGTGGGCAAGTACTTTTACCAGCTCCTTAGATGCAATCAAGCTGTTCTGCAGATCCTGTAGGTTCACTGTTTTGTCAGGACATCTTGAAACATCGTCTTGAGAGAATGTACCAACCTGAAATAGATTAACAACGCTTTAGTGCCTTCAAGTGAGAAGTGCTATCATTCAGCAATATTTTATCCCTTACGCAGCAACTAGTGACTGCCATTTCACAATCTTTAGACAGTGTTCAGCAAGTACGAAATAAATCTTACTGGAGCAATTTATTTTACACAATATTGGTGACTTGTATAACCGAATTTCTGCATGAAACAACCCAGTACACATGTACTTTGACACATTGTCAAGCACTCATGACTCATGAGCTATTTCTCAAAGTTTGTCAGATTTTTGAAGCCTGATAAAGTTGCTCTTGGTAGATTTACAGAGTGATCCTGCACATTCAGTAAAATTAATACACCAGTGGTACGTCTTCCGTTGTATTCGTAGTTAAGAAAAAATGCCAATTTAAGCACAGATACAGTATATTAATATCCCTTATCAAAAGAAAAGCAGCATGACTGAAACTGAATCCCTTGCCCCGGAACAAGAAAAACAATCTAAAACTGAAACACGTGCAAGCCACATAATCAAAGATCTCTGAGGTTGTCCTGGTCCTCAAAGCTCAAGTAATTGTTTTCTAATCTAATATTAGCTTCAACTAACCTTGCAACCATCCAATTTGCCTTCTCAAGGTTCCAAGATTGTTTAAAACTCTTAGGCTTAGCTAATGTGTTTACACTATACCTAAAAAGCAACTACTTCTCAATAGCTAATCTTCGCTAACAGCCTACGCATGAAGAAAGTATCATTGAGCCACTTCATCAGTACAATAAACAATTAAGCTGGTACAAGCTAGCTCATAGCCAGTTGCAGAAGTGGACAAGATGCATGTGCATATCAAACTGTTTCCTTGGAGATGGGCCTCACATTTCCTCAGCTTTTATGTTTACAGAATCAACTTTCACTTAAAGGTGTCTTACATTGGATGAGGCATCAAAAGTTTTCGCATTTTTGAAGCGAAACATTCCTTTTTACATGCAGCTAGGTGGTGGACGTTGTCTAAATTTATAAGTAGCTTCTGAACTCAGCAATCGGTATTGATGCAATGGGACGATTAAGATAACAATTATCAGATGGTCATAGAAATTCTTCCATTGAGTTCTGGAGAAGCATACCAGATTTTGCCAACCCAATTTGTGTGTTAATCTCGAGCAAAGTGTAAAAAGTTAATTGCTTGTTTGTTGTTTCAAGTTGAATATTCCTTATTCTTACAACTAGCAAGGTATTTAGTATCACGGGTAGCTTGGAAACTATATAAGACAGCCTATTCAGGCAAATTACCCTTTATGTGTTTTGTCCAATTACTGCAAAATTGCAGCTAGTCACTTCAATAGTGACTGAATCAAGAAACTATATAGCTTTAGGCGTTAGGCGTTAGGCGTTAGCCGTTAGCTAAGCTTTCCTGTTTACAAAATGCACTTAAAGGTGTACTTCATTGAAGGAGGAGGTCAAAAGGTTTCGCTTTTCAGAAGTAAAACATTTTTTTTACACACAACTAGGGCGGCATTGTTCAAATTTATAAGTAGCTTCAGAACTCAGCACTTAGCACCTATGCAGTCCACTATCCAGATAACTATTCTCAGGTGGCCATAATAATGCTTCCTTGGACTTGGAGGCATGGAATAGCATATCAAACTCATGGAAACCATCTTGTGTACTACGTTGGAATAAAGCGTTCAAAGTATCGCCCTTCTGAAGCTAGAGCTTTATTTCCTTACAATTAATTAGCTCGCTATGCACTATCAAAAGCTCGAGGACTTCACTTTTTTAAAATCATAGCTGGGGAACTCACTCAACTCAGAGCCTATGTAAGTATGCAGGCAGTTGATCCTTCATTTTCTTTGGTTAATAAATTAGTAAAATTTGCTTCTATTCACTTTGAAACTCAGCTAAACCAGTCATTAGTTCGCTGCTCAACATAAAGCAACGACAAGTCCCAATCACAACATAATACAGACAGTATAGTGCACAGAAGTTTTCACAATGTTTCTGGTAACCATTTTCTGGACGAAAGCCTCCACATAGGACAGAATTGAACTTATTTAGATTTGTAAACTGTAAAAAGCTCTGTCAGACACAAACATGACCCAGTTCACTAACCAAACAGAATATTCAAAAAAGAAAACAAAACAACATTTGCTCCAACGGAACAAATACAACTACAAACAAGAGATTTATTTAATCTAAGATAGTAGTTGCCGGTTTCCTTACCTCCATTGCGCTGCCGTTGCTCATCATATCTGCCGAGAGCCACCGAGTGTGGCCGTTGCGCCGACTTCCCTTACCATCAGCCTCCAAGATCTTGCTCTTACTTCTTGACCTCTTGGACACCTAAAATCACAACACTAATTCATCAGCCACGCAACAGAGCCGGCAATTGGGACAACAGAACATCAGAGCACCCACCTCCGTGGAGGCGCCGCTCCACGGAACCAAGCACCGGCGCGCCGCCGCCGCGTCCCCTTCAAGCAGACCGCTGTCCATGTTCTGCCAGAACGCGTCGACGAGCCTCCTCGCGGACGCGGACGGCCGCGTCCCGTCGGCGAGGCGGTTGCCGCCGCCACGGCAATGCCGACTCCGGGACGACTCCGACATGTCCCCGCCGGCGCTGGTCCGGCGCCGCGGCAGCAGCACCGCGGGCCGCCTGGACCGCAGCCTCCTCCCCGCCGCCGGGTCCGAGCCCCCCGACGACGACACCGCGCGGCGCTTCCGGATCTTGTTGGCCAGCCTCACTGCCGCTGCCGCGGCAGCCTCGTCAGCAGCAGCTCCTTCCTCCGAATCCCACCTCGGCATTGCAAGCTGCCAAGATTCTTCTTGCTGCCTCCTCCTCCTCCTCGTCCTGCTCACCAACACCAACCAGGAAGAAGCAGAGAGCAATGCGACTGCAGTCAGTGCTCAGTGTCACGGTCACTGATGTGGTCAAGAAGGAGCGATGCCTATGATGACAAGACCGTCACATCAAACCGATGAAAAGGGAAAGAGAAACAAGGCGAAAGCAAAAGAGGTAAAGGATGGAATCGATGCAGCTTTAAAAGAAGGAATAAGAAGCGGGGGGCAAGAACTGGCGAGCAAAAGAGGGTGGATGTGACCATCACACACACAGACGCACCTTTAAGCACAGAGCGCCATTGGGATTTGGGAACCAAGATTCGTCCCCCGTCTCGCCTTTGAACAGACCAGAGCAACGAACCAAACGATAATCGTCTCGAAAATGCGTGAAAAAGGGGGTGGGGGGAGAAATTTGCAGTGGGGTTGTCGAAGATTAAAATGTGCTTGATTCGCAAAATGGAAATGGCAAAGAGATACTCATACCCCTAAGCCCTTGTTTAGTTCCAAAAACATTTTCCAAAAAATACTACAAAAAATATTACAGCAGCATTGAATCTTATGATATATACATAGAACATTAAATGTAGACGAAAAAAAACTAATTACACACTTTAGTTGGAAATTACGAGACAAACGTTTTAAATCTAATTAGTCCATAATTAAACACTAATTGCTAAATAAAAGGTAGCCAAATTTCCAAATTTCTAACGAACTAAACACGTGCTAAAGAAAAGGAGAAGGAAACAGCTTTCGCAGAGACCGAGGAACACAGAGTTCCAAAGGACCCAAGAAACCAACGGATGGGTTATAAATCTACGCACACCGACGTGAGTACTGCTCCAACGAACGTCGGCACCAGCGGGCAAGAGCCTCGAGGTCGCAGAGAAAAAGCATGGGGAAGCCCAAAGGAAAAAAAAAGGCAGAAGAAGAAGAAGCAGCAGCAGCAGCCAAGAGCTGGCTGGCATGGAAGAGCAGAGTGGCGTACCCATCGATGAGCTGCCTGGCGTCCCTGTCCGTGCTCGGTCGATCAGCTGCTGCGAGTGCTGCTGGCTCTGGCCGGTGCTGCCATCATGAGGCTTTGAAGCTTCTGCTCAGGCGCATCGCATCGCAACTCGCACGAGTGGGGTGGGGAGATGGAGATGGACGGACGCTGCTGTGTATCGTGTACGCGTGCGTGTATGTGTCGATCTGCTCGAGGCCAGGGCCGGCCGGGCAGCGCGCGTGAGCTGTCCCTCCTTGCCGAGGGTGGTGCCTCGTATGATTGGAGCTTGTCGGAACGGCTGGCTGGTGGTGGTGGAGCATGGACGGATAGGCGGGCGAGGTGCGGACCACGAGTAGGGAGAGTAGGCGGCGGCGTGCGGCAGGCTCAGCACATGCGCCGTACCGTTGTGGTTCCTGTGCCGTTGGTATATTTTTCCCCTATGCACGTGTAAACACGCTTTTACTTGATACTTTAGATGTAAGTATTTGACAGTTGTCTGTAGATGCATCGATTTGCCACTCTTGTGTGTTGATGAGTCAACGAGTGCAGCTCCACTGTTCCAAATTACAAATTATTTTAGCATTGTTTTAAGTTAAGCTTGTCTGACTTTAACTAATACTTATTCATTAACTATTAAGATAATAACTATCATGTCTTATATTTTGGTTAAGGAAACATGTCACCATCGTGTTACAACCTCTCTTTTTGCCACTGCCTCCTATGACCATAAGCCTAGGGCTTCTCTAGCGCCACCACCGTAGTCCCCCTCCTCTTCCTTGTGTGGCAGCCTCGCGTGTTTACTGGTTGGTTTCTGGACTGATTTAAGCTGGCTATTGCTGGTTTGTTGTGAGAGAAAAACATTGTTGGTTGTTTGAATAAGTCTGGCTGAAACCAACAAACGAACATGATGGGTGAGAAGTGAGAATACTCCATCGTTTAGTCTAATTACAGCGGTTAGTGTTCAGATTGAATAAATAATGTCCCACAGGCTATCCGATGGCATAGTTTTCTTCAATTTCTTCCGGATCTTGTTTCTTGCAAAGAATTTCGGTGCAAATACCTTATCTAGGCATTCAGATCGGCATTCTTCATATCCCACGATGGTCATGTGCCCATGTTCCCTTCTTGCATCTCTGCGTCATTGGCTCATTGGATTTCGCATCTCACGATGGTCAGGAAGTTATACGAACTTCAGGTTTAGCATGACTGATATATCGGTAGTGTCAGTTTGATGGTCCCTTTGATCATCTTCAACGATAAGGCAATCGATGCTCTTTCAATGTGTCAGATACATCCCGTGAAGTTCCTATAGCATTGGATCATGCAATGTTTCCAATGTTTGGGGCCTGTCTTTGTGAGTGATTTGAGAGTGGTGCTTCAGCGATGGTGTTTGATGTCGATGAACAAGGCAGTTTCACCTCAAATCCATTGTCAATATTGGAACTGTTGGTCCACGGGATCACCGTCTAACGATAGTGAACTAGTCTCCAGACCACTAGTCTCAGACCACTAGTCTCCTAGACCACTAGTCTCCCAGACCAGACCACTATGTTAACGTTTCATTTTAGGTATTCATCAGATCGGGATACTTAGCATAGTAGTAATAGATGTTCGGGATCACAGAGAGATAGAGAGGAAGGGGTGATAGGTTGCAAACCGTCAAATACTTTAACTCACAAATTAAAACGTTGGTCAGACAAGCTTAACTTAAAACAATGCTAAGTATCCCGAACATCTATTACATCTATCAGATCGGATGAACTCAAAGAAAGAACAACTCATTAATGTTTCCATGCTTTAACTCAACGTTGGTCAAATTAAAACTTATAATTCATCCATGCAAACATTTTACATCACCGTTGGGCAGAAGTAAAATTAATTCACAATTTCTCATGGATCAAAAAAATTATAATATTGTTATTAACAACGTTGGTCAGAAAATAACAATATCATAACTGCGTCAAAAATTATCAGAAATTCATTTCTCTTAAAATTAAATTATCCCGTTGGTTCAAATTTAATCAAAGAGAACAATAATTATCATGCACAGCGGAAACATTAATGATCTTTTCATATTATTATTTTCCAGAAGCACTAAAAAATTCACTGTTTTCTGAGCAAAATATCGTTGGATAAAATTTGCACAGAAAAATTGTATCAAAATCATTCAAATTCATCAAAATAGCATTGAAATTACTCCAGGCAAATAATAACAAAATTTCATTCTTTCATTTCAGCCCAGTGCGGCCCAAGACGACAAAAACCAATTGTTGATCCTCCTCGCTTGCGAAGAAGAGTCAGCAACCGAGCGAGCGAGGGGCGGTGGAAAAGTGTGGAGGCAAGTGTCTCGGCGCCGCCGGCCCGGCATCCGTCATCGTTGGCGTTCCGACGGACTCGCGCGCCGTCTTCGGTCGAACAAAAACGGCATCTGGCCGTGTCCTCCCGAACCCTAGAGCCATTCGCTCGCTGCTCTCTCTCTCTCTCTTCTTCTTGGCTCTCTCTCTTCTTGCAGCATGTAAGTAGCCAAGAAGCAGGCGGTGGAGCCTCGGCGCGTCGCCGCCGTCATGCGCGCGTGCCCGGGTGAGCACGCCACCGTCAGCATGCAGCACGGCGCTTCCTCAGGGGCGAGAGCAGAGCGAGCCTCGTCGTCGTCGGCCCCTCGCGGCTTGGCGCGTTCTCAGCAGTGCGCGCCCGCCCAGTCAAGTCGGCTGGCGCGCTTCCTCAGCGTAGCCCGGCGAGCCAGCGCCCCCGGCTCGGCTTCTTCTCCCGCACCGGTGAAAGTTCATCCGACGCACCCTAACCCTACCCCTACTTTCCCCTTTCTTTCTTTGAGTTGTTCTTTTCGGGTTTATCCGAATGGGGAAAAAACTAGGGTTAGGTTTAGGGTTTGTTCTTGCCGATTTGGGTTAGGGTTTGTTCTTGCCGATTCGTTTTCTTTGCTTTTTATTTCTTTCTTTTCGTTCATCCTAATGGAAAAACTGGGATTAGGGTTAGGGTTCGATTTTCTATTTTCTTTCCCCGATCCGCATCAGATCGGTCGGATTCACTTCCCCGATCTGATTTCTTGTCGAACCTTAGCTCTGATGCCATTGTTAGCGTTTCATTTTAGGTATTCATCAGATCGGGATACTTAGCATAGTAGTAATAGATGTTTGGGATCACAGAGAGACAGAGAGGAAGGGGTGATAGGTTGCAAACCGTCAAATGCCGTAGTTGTCGAAGCTCGTAGGGTTTCGTTGATTGGACGCCATCTCTGCAGCGGCGGCAATGACGGTCGGTGGAGAGGAGTCGGTCTTTGTGATGTCCTCGGTTGTGGCGGCGTCTTGGCGTCGGGTGGCATTGCTTGCGGCGTCGGTGGTGCTTCCGTTCTTTGGCGGCGCCTTCTCAAGATCGGGTCTAGGGATAGGATATCGGTGGGGGTGTTGGCGGCGCAGTGAACCTCAGATGCGAACCCCGGCCCCCACCTTTCCTTTATAGCGCTGTGCAACGGGGGCCCACCAACCATGTAGGGTTGGGCGCCCCCAATCAGGGCGCGAGGACAAGGCCCAGTTAGGCCGTTGGGCCTAACCGGTGGGAGATCAATCCTAACATTCTCCCCCTTGATCTCTCATCTATTCTTCGTTCTTTAATTTCATACTCAAAACTTTCAATTCATATTTTTTCTTACTTCCATCCTATTTCATCATAGATTAGTGCATAGAACTGTCCCATCGTCACAGCAATTAGTGCCGTTAGACTAACAGCCACAATACACTTCTCCATTTTGAAATGTAAACTTTCTTTGGGCCCTTCGTATGTTTGGGAATCATAGGCTTTCCCTTAAACCCATGCCGGCTACGTGTTCTCTGAACACGTTGGGTGGTAAGCCCTTTGTGAGCGGATCCACGAGCATTTTCTCCGTACTTATATGCTCAAGATTTATTATATGATCCCGAACTTTATCTTTCACAATATAGTACTTTATGTCAATATATTTGGCAGCACCACTTGACCTATTGTTGTGAGCATACTGTACCGCTGGATTGTTATCACAATACAATCTCAGTGGTTCATTTATATCATCAATCACTTTCAATCCGGGTATGAATTTCTTCAGCCAATTCACCTGCCCCGTTGCCTCATAGCATGCTACAAACTCGGTATACATTGTCGAGGATGTAGTCACGGTTTGTTTAGAGCTTTTCCACGATATAGCCCCTCCTGCGAGAGTAAATACATATCCTGACGTGGATTTTCTTTCATCTCCCGCATAATCAGAATCTGAATACCCCTCTATCCGCAGGGAATCAGATCTTCTATACGTAAGCATGAGGCCTTTCGTACCCTGCAAATAACGCAGGACTTTCTTCACTAATTTCCAATGTTCAATTCCTGGATTCTTTTGATATCTGCCAAGTAACCCGGTAACAAAAGCTAAGTCAGGGCGTGTACACACTTGAGCATATTGTAAACTTCTAACAGCTGAAGCATACGGTATCGCTTTTATTCGGTCAATTTCATATTGGTTCTTGGGACATTGATGTTCCCCAAATCTATTGCCCTTTACTATAGGAGCTGGTGAAGGACTGCACGCATGCATACTAAATTTCTTTAGGACCTTTTCTATGTATGCCTTTTGCGATAATCCTAGAACCCCTTTTCTCCTGTCTCGGTGAATCTCTATTCCCAAAACGAACGAGGCCTCACTCTTTCATATCAAAGTTTGAGGACAAGAATTTCTTCGTTTCCATTAGCAGATTGATATCACTACTAGCAAGCAAGATATCATCCACATACAAAATTAGGAATATGTACTTTCCATTCCTGAACTTTGCATAAACGCAATTGTCCTCAACATTTTCTTCAAACCCAAAACCTTTTATCGTTCTATCAAACTTCAAATGCCACTGTCTTGAAGCTTGCTTCAATCCGTAGATTGATTTCTTCAGGCGGCATCCCATATTTTCCTTTCCTTTTACGACAAAACCTTTCGGTTGTGCCATATAAACATTTTCTTCCAAATCCCCATTTAGGAAAGCCGTCTTTACATCCATTTGATGTAACTCCAAATCATAGTAGGCTACAAGTGCCATTATAATTCTGAAGGAATCTTTACATGAGACTGGAGAAAACGTCTCATTGTAATCAATCCCTTCTCTTTGCGTGAAGCCTTTCACCACAAGTCGCGCTTTAAATCTTTCTATATTCCCTTGGGAGTCATATTTCGTTTTGTAGACCCATTTACAGCCTACTGTTTTGGCTCC